AGAAAGAAAAGAAGGGAAATAAAAGGAAAGGGAAAGGAAAGGAAGGAAAGAAAGAGGGCAAAGAGATGAGGGGAGGGGGAGGCTCTCCCACCCCCACCCACCCCAATCAAGCCTCCGCCACCCCCCACGGATCCCTCACTTACCCCGGGAGGCGGCGGGGAGCATCTTCTGCCCCAGGGAGCTGGCAACGGGCCTCCCTGGGGCTGCAGCGCTCTGGCACAGGCCCCAGGGAGCCAGCAACGGACCTCCTCTGGCCTCTCTGGGGCCGCAGCGCTCCGGCGCGGGCTCCAGGGAGCCGCCACCGGGCCTCCTCTGGCCTCCCTGGGGCCACAGCGCTCCGGCGCAGGCCTCAGAGAGCCGGCAACAGGCCTCCTCTGGCCTCCCTGGGGCCACAGCGCTCCGGCGCGGGCCCCAGGAAGCCAGCAACGGACTGCAGTGCAGAGAGCTGGGGGCGGGGTTTGCTGCCACTGCCATTTGTGCCAGCTCTTGGGCTCCCGGAGCGGTGCTCCAGCGTGCTCCGGCCACAAAAGACATGCCCAAACTGAGAGAGAGAAAAACAACACCGATGCACGCTCCCGCATGTGGACGACTGGAAGCGATGTGGCTGCGCAGCTATCCGGAGCCAAAGAGGTGAGTGTGGTTGCGATTCTCCAGGTAAAAAAAAACACGCATCGGGGTTGCACACATCGGGGCTGCACTCCCAGCATGCTGTCTGACCGCACCCATAATCTTGAGAGAGATGGATGATGCTAAAGAGAGGCAGTCAGAATTCTGCCTTGATTGAGAGAGTCTGATTTCAGCCTTAGCTGAGAGTGGTTTAACACAGACAGGAGAACTGGGGGGAAGTGGCTAGGAAGTTTGGGAAGCATACGGAGACTCCCATTCAGGCCAAGGAAAAGGGAAAGATCTTTTAGGGAGAGAAGAAGATTCCCTACCCAGGTGAACAGGGAAAATAGCTCTGAAGCGTACAGAGATCCCTGGCCTGGTGTGAATAAAAGCTGCCCATAGAGACCTAAAGAGTCAGTCAAAAACTGGTGTTTCAAGAGAAGGGAGAAGGGGTTTGGGTACTGAAAAGGGTGTACCAACCTTCTGGGAAACCAAAAGAGGTTGAGAGATACTAAAGGAAGTCTGCTGGAGTGTTAAGGAAAAAACTGGGACAAAAGCCTCTCAGTATAAAGATCTAAGTAACTGAGAATAATTTAAGAAACTTTTGTTAGCTTGTACATAAAAACCAAAGTCTGTGCAAAAACTGGTTTTACCTCAGAAATTCCAACCCCTGAATTCACCTGACCTTTCCCCCTCTATGCCGAATAAAATGTTTTGTTCTTTTTCAATCTTAAAATGTCTCAAGTGCCATTATCAGTGGTTTAAGTTAAAGAGGGCTCCTGATCCTTCCCTCAAGTTCCTGGGCTGTGGCCAAAAAGCCAAAATACTGAACTGTCAAAGGGTGGGACAGCCAGACTTCTCAGTTAAAGACATATACAGTTCCGCAGGGCCTGCAAGACGGAGCTCTTTCGCCAGGCGTTTACGTAGGAGCCACCACTACCACTACCACCACCACCAATGGCGTGGGTAACAACTGGGTAAGAGGATGGCCCTTGAAGATCTGCCATGATACCGCCCTGGGTTGGTACCACTGGACTGGCCACGTACCAGCTACAGGACACGATCTATCGCCAATGAAAGATCCGGCACCTACCGTTGGAAGACCATCTTGTTCTTTATAGAGCACTTTACTTTTGTGATTCGACGATTTTATTTTTGTTTTAAGCTGTTTTAATCTTGTTTTATATGTGGGCATTGTTGCCCTCTTGTAAGCTGCCCTGAGCCCACTCGCAGGGAGGGCAGGGTAAAAATACTAATAAATAAATAAATAAAATATTTAGTCTCAGAGTGAAACAGGGAAATGGAGAGAAAATTTTGCCTCTGAGGGAGGGAAGAGGAGGGGGTCCGTCATACTTCCATGGCAGAGCGGGGACTGGGATTTGAACCTGGGCCTTCCACATCCTAGCCCAGTGCTCTAACCACTCTACCACCCTATCGAATAATGTTCTGTGCCTTCAAATGGCTCCAGAGACATTTGCCTCTCTGCCCTTGTGAGGTCTTGGTATCCTGCCTGTTCTTTTATACTACATCGAACATTAAAAATAAATCAGAATACCACGTGGGGGATAGTTCTTAGGGTTGCCAACAACCTGGAGAGAAAAATGTCCCTTTAAACAGAGGTTTAAAGAGATGTTAGGATGGTGTGGAGCTGTTTTCTGTTGCCCCAGAAGGCCGAGCCAGAACCAACGGGTTGAAATTAGATCAGAAGAGTTTGTAACTAAACATTAGGAAAAACTTCCTGACAGAGCGATTTCTTAGTGGAACAGGCTTCTTGGGAGGTGATGGGCTCTCCTTCTTGGGAGGTTTTCAGACAGAGGCTAGATGGCCATCTGACAGCAATGCTGATTGTGTGAACTTAGGCAGATCATGAGAAGGGAGGGCAGGAGGGGTTGCATCAGTGCTTCGTTCTAGTGGCCCTTTCTCACATGGCCAGGGAAACGCTGATTGCCACTTTGGGGTCAGGAAGCAATTTTTCTCCAAGCCAGTTTGGCCGGAGATCCTGGAGGTTTTTCTCTCTCTCTTTTTTTGCCATCTTCTGGGCATGGAACAGTGGTCGCTGGGGATGTGGGGGGAGGTATTTGTGTTATTTCCTGCATTGTGCAGGGGGTTGGACTAGATGTCCCTGGAAGTCCCTTCCAACTCTATGATTCTAGGTGGTCGGCAACCTGGAGATTTTCGGGAGTGGAGCCTGAGGTCAGGGTTTGATGAGGGGAGGAATTTCAATGGGGCATGATGCCATAGAGTCTACCTTCCAAAGAGGCCATTTTCTCCAAGTGAACTGATCTCTGCTGCCTGGAGATCAGTTGCAACCCCAGGAGATCTCCAGCGACCACCTGGAGCCTGATAACCCCAAGTAACTCTACAAAATAATGATCCCCCAATTGTTCAGTTTATATGATATGCAAATCTGGAGGTATTTAATGCAGAACCGTACATTCACTATGCCTAGAAGGGGGGAGGCACAGTGCAGAAATGAAGATACCAATCTTTGGCCTCTCCCTTAAAATGGTCTCAGGTTTGCCGGTGTTCTCTTTCCCCGAAGCCTTGCAGAGCTACTGCCAGCAGGATAACAGAATACTGACCTAGATGAACCCATAGTCTGCACATGGGAGCTTCGCATGTCCATATAGCCATATGTTAAACTGGGCATTAGCACGCCACAGGTAAGGGCACACGAAACTCGAACAGCTCCCGGTGTCCGCTGCCACTGTGGCAGGGCCTGGAACAGCTTCTGGCGTCCTCTGCGGCAGGGCTCCGAATGGCTCCTGGCATCCGTCACCACTACAGCAGGGCTAGAAGCAGCTCCTGACCAGCCCACCACAGCTCCCAGGCTTCACCAAACAGGTTAAGAAGTAAAGAGTGCGCTGCCGCTGTGGCAGGGCCTGGAACAGCTTCTGGCGTCCTCTGCGGCAGGGCTCCGAACGGCTCCTGGCATCTGCCATCGCTACAGCAGGGCTAGAAGCAGCTCCTGACCGGCCCACCGTGGCTCCCAGACTCCACCAAACAGGTTAAGAAGTAAAGAGTGCTCTCTGTGCTTGCGCAAAAAACACTACTTCGCTTTTGGGGGGATTTAAAAAATGTGGGTTTTTTATTTAGATTTTTCTGCAATCCAGAAGAAGACAGCAGCTCTGAGGGAGAGGTGAAGGATGAGGAAGACAAAGGAGCAAGAAACTTTGACTTTAACTTTAAATTAGAAAAGTTTAATTTACTAATATCTAACATCACTCAACACTTTTCTTTATCCCTCTATATCCCCTCCCTATTTTTCTAAGTAAAGCGAAATTCTCTCCTTTTTAGGAGAGGGAAATAAAACTTTATATATATAAAAAAGATTTTTCTGCAATCCAGGGGAGCATGGGTTCTGTTCTGCTCCCTCCAAACCCGTTTAGGTTAAAACTGATGTTACTATCAACATCTTACCATTTTCTTGGTGTCGCTTACCTTTCCCAATCGGCACAGGAATGAATCGGCTGCTGTCATACTCCCGCTCAGAGCCAATGAATTGTGTGCACGGTATTGTGCCTGGGGGAGTCCGAACCATGCGCCTTGAGATTCCACCTGTAACACCAGGGGGCAGACATATTAACACATCAGACAGGCAAGCATTGTAATTGCTGAGGAGAACATCAGTAGTAGGTTGTGTTGGAAATATGTGCAGCACGGTATTGTGCCTGGGGGAGTTCGAACCATGCGCCTTGTGATTCCACCTGTAACACCAGGGGGCAGACATATTAACACATCAGACAGGCAAGCATTGTAATTGCTGAGGAGAACATCAGTAGTAGGTTGTGTTGGAAATATGTGCACTGCAAGGTCTAAAATTCAGTCATTATAGGGTTAATGTGTGTTTACCTTGTGTGCTATTGTTTAGAAAAGCCTATTTACTAACAATCATTGATTAATGCATTCAGGTGATTTCCTTCTAGGGGTCAAGAAGAAGAAGAATCTCCATTGTTGTAGACCTGTCAGCAAGCTGCCAGTGTGTTTTTCTATTCTTTAGGTATGCACTTATCAGTCCTCTATGTATGCGCTTGTCTACTTTCACTTTCCCATGTATGCCTGTTGAATCGCTTAATTGCCTAGTTGCAGGAACGTCCGTATCTCTCAACACTGATGGACCTCTGCTCCATATGCTTATCTAATTCCCTTTTGAAGCCGTCCATGCTTGTAGCCGCCACCACTTCCTGTGGCAGTGAATTCCATGTGTTAATCACTCTTTGGGTGAAGAAGTACTTCCTTTTATCCATTCTAACCCGACCGCTCTGCAGTTTCATGGAGTGCCCATGAGTTCTTGTATTGTGAGAAAGGGAGAAAAGTACCTCTTTCTCTACCTGCTCTTTCCCATGCATAATCTTATAAACCTCGATCATGTCACCCCTCAGTCGTCTTTTCTCCAAGCTAAAGAACCCTAAGCGCAGACCTGTTTTCTAGCCTGTCTCTGGACACGTTCTTGTGAGTAACTTGGTATAACATCCTTTGCTTTTATTCCTGACTGAGATGCAGGAGTTGATGGCACTGCTTCTGACAATCTTACTAAAACAGAGATCTTTGTTCACCATAGAAAAAGGTGAATTACTTTCACACTAGGAAACGACCGTCTACAACGTTCCTGTTACCTGTACCAAAATCAGAACACCTATGTCCCCCCAAGGCTCCTTGGTGAAGCAAATGGAGTCTATAGTCCCACTAGTACTTGAACCCAGAGCTATTCTTTAACATGTGCCTGCCTGATTCTAAGAGCGTGGAATATAAACCTTGCCATGGCCAGAGTTACTGTATAAATCGATGGTACATCCTCATTTGGAGTATTGTGTACAGTTCTGTTCACCACACCTCGAAAAGGATATTATAGCATTGGCAAATGTGCAGAACAGGGCCACTAGGATGATAAAAGGGTTGGAACACTTTCCCTATGAAGAAAGTGTTAAAGCGCTTGGGGCTCTTTAGCTTGGAGAAACGACGGCTGAGGGGTGACATGATCAAAGTCTATAAGATTATGCATGGGATAGAGCAGGTAGAGAAAGAAGTACTTTTCTCCCTTCCTCACAATACAAGAACTCGTGGACACTCCATGAAATTGCTGAGCGGTCAGGTTAGAACAGATAAAAAGAAGTACTTCTTCACCCAAAGAGTGATTAACACATGGAATTCACTGCCACAGGAGGTGGTGGCAGCTACAAGCATGGACAGCTTCAAGAGGGAACTGGGTAAACATATGGAGCAGAGGTCCATCCAAGGCTATTAGCCACAAGGTATAAATAGGAACTCACAGGCTGGGGCAGGTGATGCTCTGTATTCTTGGGGCTTGGGGGGGGGGGGAACAGGGGGAGGCCCCACTGATGGACCTCCTGATGGCACCTGGTATTTTTGGCCACTGTGTGACACAGAGTGTTGGACTAGATGGGCCATTGACCTGATCCAACATTGGCTTCTCTTATGTTCTTACTCTTCTATCATTGCCTGCCAAAATGTATGGCAGATGGAAATCATGTGAGCAGCTGGGAAACTTGCTCAATCAAGGCAGTATGAAGTTGGCTCTTAGAAGAGTACAGATGGCAACTAAATAGGAAATGGGATAACGTTTCAGTTACTGCTCTGCCACAAGCAGACAGCAGCATCTCTGGGGGGCAACGAATACCGTCAAAGCAAACAGATGATTCTGTTAGCAGTAAAGCATTTGTTCTAGCCAGGAAGAATAGCTGGCGAAGAAGTGGACAGTTAAAAAGGTAAAATAATACGGCAAAACAGGGGGGAAAGGGGCTGGAAGGACCCAAAAAAGAGAGGAACAACGTCTCTTGGTATCTAAATTAACAGCCTCCTGATCTAATCTCCTCAGCAAATCGAGAGCCTTCTTTCTCATTTCTGGGACATCCATGGGAGATAGACTCTGATTAAACCCTCAATTCAGTGGCTTACCTTCCACTAATTTATCCCAAGATGATTTATGGGAGAAACTGAGTCCATTTTAAAAGCTCAAGTCACTCAGTGGCTTATCTTCCATTAATTTATCCCAGGATGATTTATGGGAGTCAAACTGAGTCCATTTTAAAAGCTCAAGTCAAGACTCCCATTGTACCAGGAAGAGTTTGAATGTTATTGCAGCTGCCCAGCCCACAAGAGAAATTTGACTACAGCCTGTTTCCAATAATAAATTAGGGTTTGAGATGCCTGGAGAAGTCAGCACAGGAAAGAAGCCTGCACACTCTCCAATCGACTCAAGGCTGCAGAGACCCAAACAGGCACTCCATGTAATAGGAAGGATAGACTTTTTGCACAGTAAACCTCCACTGCCATTGGAACCGATTGATCCCCATACTGAAAAAAGAATCTCAGAGCAGCAGCGAAGTGGACTTTCGTTCCTTCCAAGACGTAATTAAGATAAGGAGGCCAGGTGTTGGAAGCTGTAAAGTGGAACCAGAGGTAACAATATGAGTTCACTTGGTCTATCAAGTGCCCATTGTTATCCAAGATTGACTGGCTTTCTTACGCGTTCTTGCCTTTCGAAAGACCAAGATCTTTGATTTACTGTAATTAATAACCAGCTGATTGTCCTGACGTTATTTGGCCATAGTGTAAAGTAAACGTTTCAGCCCAACTCTTGTACAGGATAGTAGCGCAGAACCTTCTACAATTATTCTCTCTAGTTTAGTGTGTGTGTGTGTGTATGTGAGAGAGAGGGAGAGAGAGAGAGAGAGGGAGAATTCTGGGAAAGCAGGGGAGGATATCTCTTTGGTGTAGTGGTTAAGTGTGCAGACTCTAGTCTGGGAGAACCGGGTTTGATTCCCCACTCCTCCACTTGCACCTGCTGATGTGACCTTGGGTCAATCACAAGCTCTGGCACAGCTGTCCTTGAAAAAGAGCAGTTTGTGCCAGAGTTCTCTCAGCCCCACCCACCTCACAGGGTGTCTGTTGTGGGGAGGGGAAGGGAAAGGAGTTTGTAAGACGCTCTGAGACTCCAAGTGAAGGGCGGGGTATAAATCCAATCTCTTCTTCTCTTCTTCTTCTTCTTACTGTATGATTTCCAGTTGTGAGGAGTAAGGATACTGCAACGTTTATAACATTTTAGGAATGCCAGCCTCCAGATGAGGCCTGGGAATTCCCTGGAATTACAGTTCATCTCCAGATTACAGAGAACAATTCACCAAAGAAAATGGATGCTTGGAGGGGGGACTCTACGGCATTGTACCCCACTGAGGTCCCTGCCCTCCCCGGGCTCCACCCCAAATCTTCAGGAGCTCCCCAACCTGAATCTGGCAACCCTACCCCCCCCCCATTGGTCAGGGGGACCTGGCAATCCTAGATGTTTTTCAGTTGTGCGGCACAGGAATGTCACAGACTGCACATCTTGCAATTCATGACCTTGTATCCTTTCTGTTTGCGATAATTGGGGGGGGTTGCATTTTGTGTGTGTGTGCATGCACACCTGGAAGTCAGGGTGACCTCTAGTGACTGACCCCTACTGGGGCCTGGAGGATATTCAGAGAGGTGGCTGAATAAAGCCTGCCCCCACCTCCCAACTGCTGGTAATCTTCGCTTCCAAGATCTGATGAGTTCACAATATTTTTAATGTATGTCTGTGTGTGTGCACGCATTTGCTGACTGATACGCTTCACACATCTTATGTCAGCCAAAAGCTCAGGGATCATTTCATAGAAAAAGAGGTGCAGGAGCTCATTTGCATAACTCATTTGCATATGCCACACACCCCTGACAAAGGGCAGGCCTGGGTTCCCTGCCCGATCTTCTCCAGGTGCCCCATCTGGGGAAGGGAAAGAAAGGCATTTAAATCCTCCCAGGTGGTGGGGGGCTCTGCAGGCCTTCCCTGACCAGTCCACTTGCACAGGCGGGCCAGGAATGCTGGCAGGGAGGGCTGCCCCAGGCTCCTTACTGCTGGAGCGCCGCTCCGCCACGCTCCGGCAGGAAATGACCCGTGCCTATGATGACCATAAATCTATTAGCCCTTTAAGGTCCTGTGAGACCCTCTCTCTCCCTTTTGTCTTTGTGTGTGTGCTGCAGCAGACACGGCTAGCCCTCTGCAATGTCTTACTTGTGTGAGACCCAGGCAGGAACCACAAGCAGCCATTCTCCTTGGTGGCATTTTCCAGGGCAATCCAGAGACCAACAACCCTGCCCAACGGTTCCGTGTGCAGGAAGGTGGCGTCTTGATGGGGTGTCACTGAAAGCAACAGAGGAGACACACAAAAAACAAATTATGCTATTTATTTAAAACATTTATTAGCTGCCTTTGTTTCCTCACGGAGCTCAAGATATAGCTTACAATGTAAACAATTTAGGACTGCTTTAATCAAGGTAAAAATAAGCTAAAGTTTCCCCTTTCTTGAAAGCCAGTCAAATCCGATTCTAGGGAGCAGTTCTCTTCTCCATTTCCGAGCCGAACAGCCAGCACTGTTCAAAGACATCTCCATGGTCATGTGGCCGGCATGGCTAGATGCCGAGGCACACAGAACACTGTTACCTTCCCCCTGAAGTTTATCTACTTGCAGTTTCTTGCTTTCGAACTGCTAGATTGGCAGGAGCTGGGGCCAGAGACAAGAGCTCACTCTGTCACAAAGCACTCGGGTCTTCACCACCGAGCCACCACGGCCTTTAATCAGATGCAGTCCTAAATAACACCGTCTTCAGCTGCCTCCTGAAGACTGAAAGGGGGAGGGCAGGCGCTCCTCCCTGGGGATGTTGCTCCGTAATTGCGGGGCTGCCACTGAAAAGGCCCCATCTCTTGTACCCACCCAAACAAGCATCTTTAATTGGTGGGACAGTCAGGAGGGCCTCTCCCTGTGACCTTAATTCCTGGCCAGGAACATATGGGAGAAGACAGGCCTTATGGAGAAGGCAGGCCTTATGGTGACCCTTTAAGGCAGGGGTGTCGAACTCATTTGTTATGAGGGCCGGGTCTAACATGAATGAGACCTTGTTGGTATGTGTCATAAAAGGTAATGCCAGGTAGCGGAGGTATGAATGAATTTTATTGTTACAGCGCATAGCCAGCAATTATAAAAAACCATAGAAGTAACTTACAATAACCAAATGGTAAAACTACCTTAAAAACAACAAGGTTACTAAGGAACAACATTATGCAGTCATTTTGATAACTAAAACCAGACTTAGGAATGGTAACGGAGGTATAAACTTTATAAAGGACACAAACACAAAGGGTTTTTTTTACTTAAAATAAAAACATGTTTAAAACATTAGCACTCTTACAATATTTTGTTTATTTAACGGTGTCTGATAACTGACACTTCTTGCTCTGAATTATTGCAACAAAATGTCTGCGCTGTTGCAATCCTGAGTATGCTGTTCAGGTGTGTATCTGTAAGCTGCAAACCTACGATGACGCAGCAGCAGCAGCAGAACTGGAAGAAGAAGCAGAAGACAGCCAGTTCCACTGCGGGCCTGATAGAAGCCCTCCAGGGGCCTGATCCGGCCCCCGGGCTGCATGTTTGACACCCCTGCTTTAAGGCAAGAGATGGTCAGAGGTGGTTTGGCCATTGTCTGTCTCTGCATCACAACACTGGGTTTCCTTGGTGGTCACCAGTGTTCCCTCTAAGCCAAGTTAGTGTGAGCTAGCTCACAGTTTTTTAGCCTCCAGCTCACACATTTTCGTCTTAGCCCAGGAAGGATGGCCCCAGAGCAAACTAATTTATGCAGCTGCCAAATCACTCACTCACTACTTTAATGCCAGTAGCTCACAAAGTAGAATTTTTGCTCACAAGACCCCACAGCTTAGAAGGGAACATTGGTGGTCACCCGTCCAAATGCTGACCAGGGCCAGCCCTGCTTAGCTTCCAAGATCTGATGAGACCGGGCTAGCCTGGGCCATCCAGGTTTGAGCAGGCCATGCTGGGCTTCAAATATGGCCTCGTTTTTTCAAGACACACACAACATACTCAGAATGCTAGCTTTCAGGCTGCGTTCCAGTTAACACTGGAACCATTTACACTGCATCGGGTTGGATTCTTCGATCAGTTCCTCTAGCAGAGGCACTTTCTCCTGGCAGAAGGTGAGAGGAGGGGGAGCACTGTATCTGGTTACACGCTTCAGATCCATCCATCACAGGAAAGTGCCTGTGCTAGCAAAACAGATCAAGATCCGGGGGTCATTTTGTAGGAAAAGAGGTGCAGGAGCTCATTTACATCAGAAATCATTTCGGGGGGGATCGCAGTCCCCCCGGGTGAGGTACGGGGGGCGGGGCACATGACGAAGCCCCGCCCCCTGCTTCCGGCCGCCCCGCTTCCGGCCCTCATTCAGCCAGGAGGAGGCAGGAGAAGAGGGAGGGTAAGTTGCTTCCTCCCTGCCTCTCCCCACCCCTCCCTGGGTAGAGCTTTCTTGCACTCCCACCGGCCTTGCAGGTCCACCGCCGGGCCCCTCATGGGGCTCGGCAGTGGAGCTGCAAGGCCGGCGGTGGCGGTTGGGGGGCGGGGTGTGTGGCCTTATGACACACTTCCGGTGATGTCAGGGGGTGTGGCATATGCTAATGAGTTATGCTAATGAGTCCCCCTAGCTCTTTTTCTATGAAACGAACCCTGATTTACATAACTCATTTGCATATGCCACTCCCCCTGACAAAGGGCATGTTTAGAATGCCTTTCTCTCCCTTCCCCATCTGGGGAAGAGAAAGAAAGGCATTTAAATCCCCCCAGGTGGGGGCGGGGGGCTCTGCAGGCCTTCCCTGGCCTGTCCACCTGCACAGGAATGGGCCAGGAATGGTGGGGGGGGCACCCCGGGCTCCTTACTGCCAGAGCGCCACTCTGCGGCGCTCCTGCAGGAAATGACCCTCTGTCAAGATCTAACTTATTGTCTTTACAGAGCCACCAACATCACTGAACAAAAGATCCACAGTGGGGAAGCCTGTGACTCCTTTATTTAATTCACTTGTACTCTGTCTTCCTCCCCAATGGGGAACCCAAAGTGGCTTACATTGTTCTCCTGCCCTCCATTTTATCCTCACAACAACCCTGTGAGGTAGGTTAGGCTGAGAGACTGTGACTGGGCCAAGGTCACCCAGTGAGCTCCCATAGCACGAGTGGGGTTTCGAACCCTGGTTTCTCAGATCCTAGCCTGACACTCTTAACCACTACACCACCACACTGGCTCTCTTGTACAGCCAAGCCACCAACTATGCAAAAAGTGTTTGGAATTCCTGGCACCCAAAGATGCTGAGATGCCACATTCTTGCAGAAAGGGACAACTTGGCAATCCTGGAACGCAACTACTGGCTATTGCCTAGGGCACGCAAAGGGTGACCTTACACAGAGCACACCTGGGAATGAAACCGATACACAATTATGTAATCTATGAGATTGCATGGGGGGGGGGCACTGTATCTGTTTACATGCTTCAGATTCCCAAAAAGGCAATGAGGCAGGGAGAGAAACAAAGCATCAGTAAGCGTTTGAAGCTCGGTAATGGGTAGGCTACTGAATTTGAACTTTCCGTACAGACTTGTAAGGGAAAGTCAATCGCAAAGGTTATAAGTTGATTCTCAAACAAAAAGCATGATGTACGACTAGAAAAAGAGCGAGGATAAAAAGCTCTGGTTTTCCTACGTAGATAACGGGGTGACAGGCAGACCTTGGGGGTGGCAGTGCAGGAAAGCTGCAGAACTGAACTCCCTGAGATCCTCACCTTGCTTATATAAAACAAATTAAAGCAAGTTTCAGTTGCATGTCGTTGCTTACAAGAACTCTTTGCAGACTTCGAAACAGGGGAATAATTGCTCCCTCTAATCTGTGGAGTCTTGTGAGCAAAAATTCTACTTCAAGAGGGAATTAGATAAGCTTATGGAACAGAGGTCCATCAGTGGCTATTAGCCACAAGGTATAGATAGGAACTCTCAGGCTGGGGCAAGTGATGCTCTGTATTCTTGGTGCTTGGGGGGGGGGGCAATAGTGGGAGGGCTTCTAGTGTCCTGGCCCCACTGCTGGGCCTCCTGATGGCCCCTGGTATTTTTGGCCACTGTGTGATAAGAGTGTTGGACTAGATGGGCCACTGGCCTGATCCAACATTGGCTTCCCTTATGTTCTTATGTACTTTGTGAGCTCCTGGCATTAAAGTTGTGAGCAAGCGATTTGGGTACTGCATAAATTAGTTTGCTCTGGAGCCCTCCTTCCTGAGCTAAGGCAAAAATGCATGAGCCAGAGGCTACAAAACTGTGAGCTAGCTCACGCTAACTCAGCTTAGAGGGAACACAGGAAGGGAGCCGGATCAGGGGCAGTGCCCGCCCCTCCCACGTGATAATGCATTCGCTAGAATGCCTGCCCAACAGCTGCTTATTTATTTACTTCATTTATACCTCACTTTTCTCCCCAGAGGGGAACTAAAGTGGCATACATTGTTCTCTCCTCCACTGTATCCTCACAACAACCCTGTGAGGTAGGTTAGGCCGAGAGGGTGTGACTGGCTTAAGGCCACCCAGCAAGCTTCCATGGCAGAGTGTGGGTTCAAACCTGGGTCTCCCAGATCCTAGACCAACGCTCTCAACCACTATACTCCTCTGGCTACGTGCCTGTACAATTGCATGCCCATACGATTCTTCCCAGGAGATCGGGAGCATCCACATATGCAGTCTCTCGACATGAATTCCCCTGAATACCCGGAGGCTGGAAGAGGTCAGACCCTGCTGTAGCAATCCCTCTTATTGTTTGTTCCCCTTCCCTTAGAAAGGGGGAAAGGGCTAAGCCATGTAAAGGGACCCGTAGACTGCCTTACAGTGAGTATTTGCAATGAAGGGCTGGAGTGAAAGCTAGTGTAATGAGCAACGCCCTCCTCCACAGGATCCTTGTCGCTGATAATATTGCAGTCACCCAGAGGGCACTGGCTGAGCAAGAGGTGGTGCAAGAACAGAATACCACTTCTTCTGTTACCGTGGGGTTCGAACTTTCCACCTTCAGGGCACCCTTCTGGAGAGGAGCCCTGGCTCAGCATTAGAGCTTCCGCCCAGCCCTGAAGCCTTTCCAACAGAAATGTGTCAACGGAGGGAGAAACAATTAAAGCAGGTCAGAGGCCAAACTCACCAGGGATGAATCCGCCTTAGGCTGTGGATGAGCAGTGTGAGGGAAGCAGTGGGGCAGGAGGGCTGCTGTCTATACACAACAGGGCCTTTTTGGTGGTGGTGCCGGAGCTTTGGAATATAGTCACCCAGGCTATCTATTTAGCACTATTCTCCAAAGCATATATGGCCACTGGCAGGGGATAGGGATTGTTAGGTTCTAGGTTGGGAAACTCCTGGAGATTAGGGGGTGGAGCCTGGGGAGGACAGGGACCTCAATGGAGGACATAATGCCACAGAGTCCACCCTCCAAAGCAGCCATTTTCTCCAGGGGAACTGATCTCTGTATTCTGGAGGTGAGCTGGAATTCTGGGGGATCCTCAGCTCTCACCTGGCGCTGGCAACCCTTTTTTACTTTTATAGATGCATGTTTGTGTGTGTGCGTCTATACACACACACAGAGAGAGTCTATATCGACTGCTATTTTAAGTTTTGCAACATTTTAATGTTGATTTCTATTTTCTGTATTTTCTTTCTGTATTTTCTTATGTTGCCTGGAAATTTTTTTTTTTAAGATGGGGCATTTTCATGGAACCCATCTTCCTTAACCTGCAGCCCCTGTTGCCAGACAGCCACAAGGGTTGTTGCTTCTCAGCACTGTTGTTTTTGTGAATTCAGGTGTCACCAGAAACTGCATTTCATGCAAACTGTGGTTCACAAGGCAGCTACAGACCCAGCGTGAATGAATGTCTGTAGTAGCTCTGAGCAGGGGTCATTTCGTAGAAAAAGAGCTAGGGGGACTCATTAGCATAACTCATTAGCATATGCCACACCCCCTGACATCACCGGAAGTGTGTCCTCCCCACAGCCGGCTGCGACCTCCAGCGGGCACCAGCAGGGAGCTCCAGGCCCCGCCCTCCCGCACCTCACCCGGGGGGATGGCGTCCCCCCGCGTCCCCCCCCCAAATGACCCCTGGCTCTGAGCCAATGAGTGGTTAAGAGTGGCAGACTCTAATCTGGAGAACCAGGCCTGATTCCCAACTCCTCCTCCACATGCAGCCTGCTGGGTGACCTTGGGCCAGTCACAGTTCTCTCAGAACTCTCTCAGCCTCATCTGCCTCACAAGGTGCCCGTTGTGGGGAGAGGATGAAGTTCCCAGGCAATGCTCCCTCTAGGCTGTGGAGCCCTGTGAGCAAAAATTCTACTTTGTGAGCTACTGTCATTAATGTTGTGAGCAAGCGATTTAGCTGCTGCCTAGATTAGTTTGGTCTGGAGCCGTCCTTCCTAAGCTAAGACAAAAATGTGTGAGCCGGAGGCTAAAAAACTGTGCGCTAGCTCACACTAACTCAGCTTAGAGGGAACACTGTTCCCAGGCCCAACATGGCTGCTGGCGGGGGGCTCCAGGGTCTATCCAGGGATCTTATGGAGTGCGTGCAAAGTGCGCATGCTGCGATGACATCACCCAGAAGTCACGTCACCAGCAACAGGGGGGTGATGCTCTAGTTTTGGGGCAAAACTCTATGGTTTGACCCCAATTTTACCAGAGAGTTTTGCCCCAAAACTAGAGCATCACCCCCCTGATGCTGGCGACATGATGACATCATTTCCGAGTGACGTCATTATGTGATGTTCGGGGGCATTTGCAGGTGGGGTTTCCCCCCGCTGGCCAGCTGGCTGGTGGCAAAAAGGGGCCCACAAAAGTGGGGGGACCCCCGCCCAGACCAAGGGCCTGGCAACCCTAGGAGAGGAAGGGAAAGTGAATGTAAGTTGCTTTGAGATTCCTTAAGGTAGAGGGGGGAAAGGTAAAGGTGAAGGTTTCCCTGGCGGTGCTCATCTCCGTTTCCAAGCCGAAGAGCCAGCGCTGTCCAAAGACGTTTCCGTGGTCATGTGGCCGGCATGACTAGACGCCGAGGCGCACGGAACGCTGTTACCTTCCCATCGAAGAGGGACCTATTTATCTACTTGCAATTTCTCGCTTTCGAACTGCTAGGCTGGCAGGAGAAAATCAGGGTATAAAACCCTGCTCTTTTCCTTCTCATGGGGCCAACTTCTCCCCTCTGTCCCCTTCTATAAAGAAGTTCGGAGGGTGTTTGGCTAGTCTTGGGCTTTCTCGGCGGCTGCCCCACTGTTCTAGAATGGGCCCATCAGTGTTCGTAAGACCGGTCTCCTCCCTGTTCCCTCTAAGCTGTGCGCGTGAGCAGCCACTCATTAACACAGGAAGCTCCACTTGGCAGCAATCTGGAGCCACACGGGGTCTCGCACTGCCCACGGCCCATCTCCAGATCACAGCAGTCATATTCTGTTCAGGATGTAAACTGCGCCGCTCATTGGGGGGGAAATTAGAGGAAACATAAGGTCTCCTCCCTCTCTCAGTTCCGTAAGGCTCGTAAAAGCTTTTTTGGGAAGTCTTTGACTGAGGCCCTTCGGGATCTGCAGTATATCTCTGTGATGTGTCCGGATGTTAAGCTGGTATTAACTAGTGTACAGTTTTACGATACATTGTTATTTTAATTAGGTGTTTTTCCGGTTAGTAGTATATATACTAGGGGCCATGGTGGCTCCGAGGTTAAGACGCTGCGCTGCAGACCAAAAGGTCTGTAGCTCGGCAGTTTGAGACCCGAGTGCTGCGTGACGGAGTGAGCTCCCGTCTCTGGCCCCAGCTCCTGCCAATCTAGCAGTTTGAAAGCAAGAAATTGCAAGTAGATAAATTGGCACCGCTTCGGTGGGAAGGGAACAGCGTTCCGTGCGCCTTGGCGTTTAGTCATGCCGGCCTCATGACCATGGAAACGTCTTCGGACAGCGCTGGCTCTTTGGCTTGGAAACGGAGATGAGCACCACCCCCTAGAGCTGGATTCGACTGGCTTTCGAGGAAGGGAAAACTTTCGTATATATACTGTCTGTGTCTCTGTGGACAAAGGCAGTCCAAAAGTAATTTTAAAGCTCAAATGAATAAATAAATCTTAGGCCTAGAATACCAAACGGTGTGTGGTAGGATCCAGTATGGATTTTAGTTCTCAATAAAGCAAAACAGAAGACTCACCTTCACCACCAATGTGAGGCTGCTGTTTGAGACAGAGAGAGAAGAAAGAAACATTATACTGGGGGCGGGGGGAGACTCACAAACCTCATTCCATTTTTTTAAAAAGACAGCTATGCTGACAGTACCTTGAAGATATACATACTCTGTACCACCACAGGGCTCTCAAGGCCAATTTTCCTTGCCAGGGCCTGTAAAGCATCAGAAGAATGGCAAGAGGTCTTAAATTTTCTGCCTAGCTACCGAGGGAGACAATTTAAGGAGCATCCGTCTCCGGTTCAAAAACTCCTTGTCTCCTCATTTTATAGCTACAGGAGACACTTTTGGCTGTTCTTCACTCACCTGTACTTTGGAGGCGTGAGTCACTTGCTTGAAGACAACATCAGAGGCATGTAATGCTGCATGAAAGAAGGCAGAAGAGGGCATTTCGTTCCCCAAAGGGGGAAATTTTTGATGAAGGAAGAGAGATGAAATCAGAGACAAGAAAACATCAATGAAAATCCCACTCCAGCTTTGCTTTGTCCCTTCGCAAAGTCTTTACACACCACCAGGGGTCATTTCGTAGAAAAAGAGGTGCAGGAGCTCATTAGCATAACTCATTTGCATAACTCATTTGCATATGCCACAACCCCTGACAAAACTGGAAGTGTGTCAGAAGACAACACCCACTGGACTGTTTTGGATCGCTAGCTATTGGGGGGGACGGGACGTGCAGATCTGTCCTCGCAGAGGAGGGAGAGCTTGTACCTGAATAAAACTTGGTCTTAAAGGTGCCGCTGGACTGTTTTGGACTGGGGGGGGCTCTGCAACTTACCTGGCTGCTTCTTGCTCTGACTGAGGGCTGCTGGGAGCAGTGGGTGGGGCTTGTTGCTGGGCTCTTTACTGCTGGAGCTCCGCTCCTGTGTGCTCCTGCAGGAAATGACCCCTGCACACCACCCATTGTTAAACACTTGCTAGTCTCCTTAATGTTCTGCCTCCTCAGGTTCCTTTCAGGAAGGCTTGCCAACCTTTAGGTGGTAGCTGGAGAACTTCTGAAATTAGAAGTGATCTCCGGGCAACAGAGATCAGTTCCCCTGGAGGAAATGGCCACTTTGGAAGGTGGACTCTCTGGGCCTTGTACCCTGTCTGAGGCCCCGGCCCCTCCCCAAACCCCCCCTCCTCAGGCTCCACCCCAAAATCTCCAGGTAATTCCTAACCCAGAGCTAGCAACCCTACTTTCAGAGAACGAGCATGCTATAAACGTAAACTGGAGGAGCAGCCATGACCCCTAGGAGGCGCAATTCTCAGAGGAACTCATGGGAATTTTAGTCCTCTGTGAGGTCTGTCAGAAATCGCTTGTAACGCCCCGCCCCCCCGACTATACCCAGGAGTTCCTTGGGGCAAGACTCGACAATTAATTTTATCTGCTCACTTCATTTATACTCCAGCTTCCTCCCCAGTGGGGACCCAAGGTGGTCGAAGTAATTCTCCTCGCCTCCATTTTATCCTCACAACTAGGGTTGCCAGGTCTGGGTTGGGAAATACCTGGAGACTTTGGGGGTGGAGCCGGGAGAGGGCGGGGTTTGGGGAGGGGAGGGGCCTCGGCACGGTAGAGTCCCATAGAGTCCACCCTTCAAAGCAGCCCCTTTCTCCGGGGCAGCTGATCTCTGTCAGTTGGGGATGAGTTGTAAAAGCGGGAGATCCCCAGGCCCCACCTGGAAGCTGGCAACCCTACTCACAATAACTCTGTGAGGTAGGTTAGGAGAAGAATGTGTGACCAGCCCGAGGGGGTCACCCAGCAAACTTCCCTGGCAGAGTGGCTCACTAAAACAAGGGCTGCCACCTAAGGGTTGGGGGAAATCTGGAGATTTGGGGGTGGAGCCTGAAGAAATTTGGGTTTGGAGAGGGGAGGGACTTCAATGCCATAGACTCCACTTTCCAAAGTGGCCATTTTCGCCAGGTAAACTGATCTCTGTTGCCCGGATAGGGTTTCCAGGTCCTTCCTGGCAATCGGCAGGGGATGGGGGGGGGACTTACCAGGAGCAGCAGGGAGGCCCATCCAATGTACAGCGACGTGCCCACATCGCTGCCCATGTGACCCGGGAGTGACATCATCACATCAGGGATGTTGGGGCGACGCTCTGGTATTTGGGCAAAAACTCTAAGGTAAATGTGGATTCTACCATAGAGTTTTTGCCCAGGTACCAGAACGCCACCCCAATGTCCTAGATGTGCTGACATCACTTCTGAGTCATGTGGGCAGTGACATGGACACGTTGCTGCATGTTGGATCTCCCTCTTATTCAGGGTAGGTTCCCCCCGCTGGCCAGCTCATCGGCAGTGGAGAGTTGGGGCTTGGCAGCGGGGGACCCCCGCCGCCATTGGGGAGGGGGGTCTGGCAACCGTATGCCTGGAGATAAGTTGAAATAGCGGGGTATCTCCAGCCACTAGCTGTTTTCTTCATTGTCTGCATCCTTCTCGTGATCTCTCTCTTGTTTCTACACTACCTGGAGGCTTGCAACCCTATCTAAAACAGTAAAGGTAAAGGTAAAGGTTCCCTTGCTCGAAAGCCAGTCGAATCCGACTCTAGGGTTGCGGTGCTCATCTCCGTTTCAAAGCCGAAGAGCCAGCGCTGTCCAAAGACGTTTCCGTGGTCATGTGGCCGGCATGACTAAACACCAAGGCGCACGGAACGCTGTTACCTTCCCACCGAAGTGGTCCCTATTTATCTTGCTTTCGAACTGCTAGGTTGGCAGGAGCTGGAACTAGAGACAGGAGCTCACCCCGTCTTGCGGCACCCGGGTCTTGAACTGCTGAACTACTGACCTTCCACAGCCTGCAGTTCAGCGTCTTAACCACTTGAGCCACCGCAGCTCCCTATATCTAAAACAGTATCAAGCTTAATAAACAGTATAAAGTTTGAATATAGCTGCATGCTACCCAGAAGGGGCCTTTTTGAAATCCGAAGGAAACACCAGATAACTTACAATTCAATTTAGAAAATCTAGTGCTTGTTGTTAGAAGGGAGGACTGACTTTGATTTTTTTAATAACACCGTTTAATCAAAACAGCCCCGGGGGAGGGGGAGAAAATTGAAGCGTTCCTCTGATTTCACAACCTCACTGATTAAAATTTATCTTCACCAGTCCGTCAGGTAATCTCACGGATTTGTTGTGGGGATCAAATGGAGGAGAGGAGAATTAGGTGAACTGCTCTGGATCCTCACTGCAGAGAAAGGCAAGACTCCAAATAAAGTAAATAAAAGAGAATGTGTTTGCTGATTAACCTGCCAATTAGAGCTCCCCCCCACATAGGGTTTAAATCAGCTTGAAATCCCCCATTAATAGATTACATCAATCAGGCCTTCAGAAAAGAGAGAAGAATAAATATGTCTTTTTAAAAAAATAATAATCTTTGTTGATGCACTCAAGTTCTCTCTAAAGCTTTTGAACCGAAAGCTAAATATGCTTCAGATGTGCTCATCCAGATGACAGAATCATCATCTGGTTTGTGTTATCCAGCTCAAGAGGGTGAGTTACTGTGAGGGCATCACCTATTAAACAGATGGCAGGGATTGTTTGCTTGCTTCCTACTCCCCCCCCCCCAGTGCCCCTGAGGCTTTGAATCCTGCATTTTGTTGTTGTTCAGTCCCACAGTCGAGTCCGACTCTTCCCGACCCCATGGACCAGATCACGCCAGGCCTTCCGGAGGTTTGCTCAATTTCATGTTCGTTGCATCGATGACACTGTCTAACCATCTCATCCTTTGCCGTCCCCTTCTTCTTGTACCTTCAATCTTTCCCAGCATCAGGGTCTTCTCCAGTGAGGGCTCCCTTCTCATTGGGTGGCCAAAGTATTTGAGCTTCAGCTTCATTATCTGGCCTTCCAGGGAACAGTCAGGGTTGGTTTCTTTTAGGATTGACTGATTTGATCTTCTTGCAGTCCAAGGGACTCTCAAGAGTCTTCTCCAGCACCAGAGTTCAAAAGAATCTACTCTCGCAGCCATACATGACTACTGGGAATACCATTGCTTTGACCATGCGGACTTTTGTTGGCAGGGTGATGTCTCTACCGTCCCCCGCAGCAGGGATCCTGTAAAGAGCTGCAGATCCCCCGCCGGCATTTGGTAAGCCTACACAGCTCTCCTCTGCTGCTGGGAGCAGACATACTGGAGCTGCAGGATCAGCTCCAGGCTTGCAAAATGAACAGAAGATCTTTGCACAGAGGATAATCACAGGATGACTGAAAGAACCAGGCTAGAGCAAAGCAGCCACCGGCCATATTAAGGTAAAGGTTCCCTTGCTCGAAAGCCAGTCGAATCCGACTCTAGGGTTGCGGTGCTTATCTCCGTTTCAAAGCCGAAGAGCCAGCGCTGTCCGAAGACGTTTCCGTGGTCATGTGGCCGGCATGACTAAACACCAAGGAGCACGGAACGCTGTTACCTTCCCACCGAAGTGGTACCTATTTATCTACTTGCAATTTCTTGCTTTCGAACTGCTAGGTTGGCAGGAGCTGGAACTAGAGACGGGAGCTCACTCCGTCACGCGGCACACTCGGGTCTCGAACTGCTGAACTACCGACCTTCCACAGCCTGCAGTTCAGCGTCTTAACCACTTGAGCCACCGCAGCTCCATATTGCAGTTGCCTTATTCCAAGTCAGACTGCTGGCCATCTAGCTCAGTATTGTCTACTCTGACTGGCCTCAGTTCTCCAGGTTCTTGGGCAGAGAAAGGCCTTTCACATATGGTTACTATTGAGGTTAACTGGTGTGGTTAGCCCAGTCACCATTAGTTAGCAGAGTGCTTAAAATAAAGCTACAAACGCAGCAGGTTACTCAACTTACAAAGCTACACAGAGCCACACTGCAAGTTTAGAAGAGAGATACTCCTCTCTTTATTGGAGAAGTACACTTTGGATAGGAAAGAGCAGAGACAGGATAGAGTACTAACTTACTGGCTAAAGGATGGAGGCAGATGGAGAGAGGCCCATCTGCCTCATGGTGCCAAGAGAGGACCGCATGTCCCTCTCTTGGTGTGTCCAGGAAGAGAGCAAGTCTTCATTCAGAGGGAGAGAGAAGCAGGAAAGGGAAATTGGTCCCTGAGAACACAATCTGCATTTTAAAGAGGACAGCGGCAGAAGTGTAAAGACAGGAAGAAAGGTCAGTGTGCCCGTCTAGCCGTCTAGCCTCTCTTGCCACTCAGTCTGGAGGTCTGAGACAGGGGACGTCGCATCTGGAACTTCCAACAGTTCCCAGGCTGCAGCCGGCAACCCCCAGGAGTAATAAAGGGGCAGGGCCTGGTGCACCAGTGTCATGCCAGCATGCTGACATCACTTCCAGTAAAAAACAGAAGTGCCATGATGGGACATTCTAGGATTTACAGAAACTCTATGATCAATCCATGGAGTTTTGCAAACCCTAGTGTACCATGATGTCACTTCTGGGTTTTTACTGGAAGTGATGTCATCGTGATGCCTGCTTGTGACACAATCCCCCCTCCCTTTCCTTCTGCTGGCATATCAGCGTATAGCTATAGTCTACTATAGCAAGCCCACTTTCCCAGCACCTGCTAATTGAGATGCTTCAACAAGGTATGCCAGAGACTCGGACCTTCTGCACATAAAAGCAAGTGCTCTCCCATGGAGCACAGTCCATAACAAGCAATGTATTTGCAACATGCATTAACTCCTTTATAGAAAACAGTGCTCACCGCCGCACCCCCTCTTTGAGATACCACCATTGTTCATACTTGCCATGGCCAATTTTGTTAATAGATTTGTCCTTCGGTACCAGAAAATCCCCTAAAACAACAACAACAACAACAAAATCTGAATTAAAAGGGTATCACAGAACGAAAAGATTAGAATATTTATGTTGTAGCGTCCTTGGGAGTGGAGGTCTGTAAAGCAGAACTGACGTTCATACCGGTGGTTTTCTAGTTGGAAGTCTGGCTCAGATCATTACCAGGGGAGAAATAAGTTCTAACTCAGATGTGTCAAACTCGTTTGTTACAAGGGTTGGATCTGACATAAACGTCACTTGGCCGGGCCATGTGTGCCGTAAAATGTAATGCCAGGTATCGGAGATATAAACTGTATAAAGGACAGCAGATCATAGGCTCCAAGTTGGTGTGTCCTCACTGCAAGGCCCCCTAGGATGGGAGGGGGGGTGCAAAGGAAAACCCACATGGGCGGACTGGAGAGCCAGCGGTGCAGCACGAGGCAGACGCTCCCACGAGGCTTGACTGCTGTAGATGAGGTTGTCCCGCCGTGCTGAAGCCACAATCGGAGTGGCTCCGCCCACTCTACTCACTGAGCAGTCTCCTGTTCCCTCCCTCACGCCAGTTGCTTGCGGGCCGCATAAGAGCCCCGGACAGGCTGGTTCCGGGCCCCGGGCCTTATGTTTGACACCCCAGTTCTAACTCTTCCCGGAGACTGGACTTGGAGAAGCCATCTGATGGAGAGGAAGCCAAATTACATACCGTATCGTATTAAGAATTTCAGGGACTACTGAAAGAGGAGATCATCTGCTCGAATGCTTCCCCCCACACCCCCGAAATCAAAAACTCCCTCCTTGGGAAAAACTAGCGTGCCAGGAAGAATAGCTCAGTGTGTGTTTGTGTGTGTGTGTGTAAAGTTCCGTCAAGTGGCAGCTGACTTATGACAGAGGTGTTCTGCCATTGCCTGCATCTGCGTAGCGACTCCGGACTTCCTTCATAGTCTCCCATTCAAATACTAAGCAGAGTCGATCCCGCTTAGCTAACCGAGATCTGGAGATCATGCTAGTCTAGCTATCCAGGTCAGGGCAGAGTAGTCCTAACTTAGCCTTTCGCCAGATGCACTCATTTTCTTTGTGCTGAATTTCCCCCCCCCCTAAAATGAGGTCACCCCCCTGCAGTCACAAGTGATCGAGTTCAAGCAGCAGCAGATGATGCTTTCGAACGTGTAGACGTGTTTCTTAATAACCCACTACTCTCAGTCTTACCTATGCTGCATATCACAGGCTCCAAAGTTGCCCGCCTGTGTGTTTTCAGGCATACACTTCTCTCTTCTTCAAAGCAGAGAGCCACCTCTGGCTTTTCCCTGCTTCTTCAATGCAGGAGAGACTTCAGAAGAGCCCAGGAAACATCACGTTAAGGTCAGCAGGGAACACCAGTTGGAAACTGCTGCTTCTTAGAGGAAGAAGCTCAGTTGGACTCTCCCAACGTTTTACGATTGCACCCAGCCACCCCACGGCAGCCATTTTGTGGTGCCACCGACAGCTATCGAGTCACAGCTGACTTATGGTGACCCCGTTAAGGGTTTTGAAGGCCAGAGACGTCCAGAGTTGGTTTGCCACGGCCTGCCTCTGCGTCGCATCCCTGGACGTCCTTGGTGGTCTCCCATCCGAGTACTAACTAGAGCTGACCCTGCTTAGCTTCTGAGATCTGATGAGATTGGGCTAGCCTGGGCCGTCCAGGTCAGGGCATGGTACCCACTACCCACAGGCTCATCAGGGCTGGAGACCCTTCTTGCATATGGCCCATTCGATAGGGTGTTGGTCACAGCACTGTGGAAGGAAGGAGTACCTTTTCTCCCTGTGCCCACAATTTCCCTGATTAAAAAATGCCCCCTGATGTCAGGTAGCCCTGTCATAGGTTTGGAATGTGGAGGGGTGCCCTCCCGTTTTCGGTCTCAGCTCTCCCTGGCTCACCAGCTGTTTGCTATCTTATGCTTGACCTTGTAGATGCTCCAGCTGCAGTTTTACTCGGCTGGGAAAGTTAACGGCTTTTGCTTTGCCTGCTTGCTTTGCCCGCCCGCGCGAGATGTATCCATAGGCTCATGCTTACCGGGGGGATGTTTGATTCTAGTATAAGTCAGAGGCCCTAGTATTGGCAGCCATTCCTGACACAAGCTGTACACGTGCCTCTAGTACTGGATTTACCAATAAACAGTTATCTTCTCATGAAGCCCTGTGTTGAGTAACCTGACTAAGGACCCTGACACTTCGCTACTTATAGGCCAAGTTAGGGGAAAACAGTTCCCATATTATGCCTAGATTCAAGTCCAAGATCATCTTAGAGACCAACAATATTTGGGGGGCAGTGTTCCCTCTAAGGTGAGTTAGTGTGAGCTAGCTCACAGTGTTTTTAGCCTCTGGCGCACACATGTTTGCCTTAGCTCAGGAAGGATAGCTCTAGAGCAAACTAATTTATGCAGCAGGCAAATAATTTGCTCACAACTTTAATGCCAGTAGCTCACAAAGTAGAAATTTTGCTCACAAGACTCCACAGCTTAGAGGGAGCATTGGTCCTGATCCCCATCTCCCTCCGGGGGGGGGGGCGCGCTTTGAGCCCTCCCCCAAACATATTGGGATTTCCAGTCACAGAACTCCAGATGTCATGCATAGTTTGATCTGGAATCCTATCAGACAAGTTCTGATGTCCTTCCGCTGGTTATTTTCTCTGCCTCAGTTCCAATCTCTGTAAAATGGGAATACAAATGACTCTTGAGGATGGGAAAGGTTTGAAAGCCACAAACAGTCATGACGATTATGATGATAATGGTGAAAGGGTTCTAAACTAGTTTCTGCAGCACTACCTAACTGCTGTGCGCATCACTAGGGTTAAATTAAACATTTTTACCTTTCTCGTCAAAAACACCTTTTTCAAAGAAGAACCTGATTTTGTCTCCACTGGTTAGGAAATATTCCGCACTTCCCTGTGGGAGATGAAACACAAAGCTGCCTTCACAAACATCAGAATTCCTTATTTCAAAAGCTCTTGCAACAGCTAAAAGACTTGACAGATTATTTTCATGGCATTTGGTTTTCATTAGATGCTTGAAGTGCATCCACAGATGGCAAACGCAGACACACAACAGATACACAAATAAACAGTTGGGCCAAAAGACTGTAAATGCAAGGAGTTCAGGCTATGACATTTCCATGCAGAGCTCAAAGGCGTATGAGATAAGCACAGTGATCATTCACAATGCTAATCGGGGGTTATCTTAGCTTTGATCATTGCACAGCTACAGTGGGAGAGGAAACCTCATTATTCATTGAATGCTAAATGAATATAAATCAAATCTACTTATACATTCTTAGGCATGTTAGTGGTTTGCAGAGGAAACAAGAATGGGCTCTCGTAGACTGAAAGCTTGATCTAGGACGAAGCTTTCACAGACTAGAACCCATGTCATCAAATGCTTGAAGCATCTCCAGCTGGTGGGAAAGAAACTGTAAAGAGGAGGTTTGAAAAGGCCACAAGAAGGAATAGGGTCATGCCATTTCTCCATGAGATTTGACCTGTCACAGCCCAGTTGCATTCCGTAGATCTTTGGCCTCACTGTTTAAATTTTTTCTTTCTGTAGATATGTATTTCTCACTGCCAACTGCTGACAACAGAACATAGGAACAGCCCTGCTGGGTCAGACGAGGTCCCTCGAGTGTAATCCATCATCTTGTTTCACACAATGGCTAGTCAAATGACCCCAGAAAGCCCAGAAGCAAGGCATGAAAGCCTTGTGCTTCCATTTGGCATCCATGGCCAACAGCCATGGATGGCTCTCTTCTCCCTACATTTGTCCTCTCCCTGTCTAAGCTACTGACCACCGCCAAATCTTGTGGCAGTGAGTTCCATGAGTTAGTTTTTACTTTGAATGAAGAAGTACTTTAGTTTGTCTGTCCCAATTGTAGGGTGACATGTTTCCCCCCCAGTTGTTGGGTTGTTTTTTAACTATGAATCAACATAGATTCGAGTAGCCATGTTGGTCTGAAGCAACAGAACAGAGTTCGAGTCCAGCAGCACCTTTAAGATCAACAGAGTTTAATTCTGGGTCTAAGCTTTCATGTGTATCTTGAATAAAACTGTGTTGGTCTTTGCCGCTGGACTCAAACTTTGTTCTCTGAATTAATGTGCTTTGGATCGCAGCACTGTATTTTGGAACTAAGGATTTGATCATGATGTGGACAGGTTGGAGGATATCTTTACCGAAAAACGGGATGCAGTGTTCCCTCTAAGCTGAGTCAGTGTGAGCTAGCTCACAGTTTTCGTAGCCTCCAGCTCACAGATTTTTGTTTTAGCTCAGGAAGGATGGCTCCAGAGCAAACTAATTTATGCAGTAGCTTGCTCACAACTTTGATGCCACTAGCTCACAAAGTAGAATTTTTGCTCATAAGATTCCACAGCTTAGAGCAGTGATGGCGAACCTTTTAGAGAACGAGTGCCCAAACTGCGACCCAAAACCCACTTATTTATCGCAAAGTGCCAACACGGCAATTTAACCTGGATACTGAGGTTTTACTTTAGAAAAAACAACTCATACATTAACTTAAGATGATCCAAACAAAGTAAGGAAAGCAATCCCAAATGCTTTCATTGACTTAAAATTATTTGGCAGAGAATTCGACACTTTAATGATGGTCTGGGCCTGGCTGGGGCGATGGTACGCGTGCCCACAGAGAGGGCTCTCAGTGCCACCTCTGGCACCCGTGCCATAGGTTCGCCACCACTGGCTTAGAGGGAGCATTACAAGCATTTGAAATAAAAGAAAGAAGTAAATCAATTACCTGCATCTTTTTTTCCACATGAGGCCAGCGTGGCAGAAAACAGAAGCATTGTTTGCCTTCAAAACAAACTTTCTTTATAAAGAAGAAGGGCGGTCTTGGATTTGACTCTCAGCTTTTGTTTGCTATGAATGCTCAACGAGGCGGCTGAAGTTGGTTGCTTATTTCCAATTCCTTATTCAAATCTCCTTAGAAACACAGGCCTCTTGGAGGCACCCCAATAGAGGCTTGTGGCGCCAGAACCAGTGTTTGGACTGGGCACTGCTGTATGTCTCCTTGCAGGGGACAGTCTCCAGAGCACGGGGATGTGTCACTGGGGGGGGTCCCAAAGATTTTTGGGGGGTGCAGCATGGCCCCAATGTCTGCCTGTGTGATTGTCCTGGGGGCACCTCACTTTGGAGCGACTGGCACAAGAACCGGGCTTTGGACCAGGAAGTGCCGTATGTCCCCTTGAATGGGAGGGTCCCCTGAAGCTGGGGTGTATATGACGTGGTGGTCCCAACCTTATTTTGGGGTGTAAAGCACAAGCGGCCAAACCAGTTCCTTATTCAAATCTCCTTAGAAACACAGGCCTCTTGGAGGCACCCCAATAGAGGCTTGTGGCGCCAGAACCAGTGTTTGGACCGGGCACTGCTGTATGTCTCCTTGCAGGGGACAGTCTCGAAATTGTGGGGATGTGTCACTTGGGATGTGTCCCCTGAACGTGGGGGTGTATGACATATGGTGGTCGAGACTTTATTTTGGTGTTCAGAGCTTTCAAACTCTCCTCAGTGTTTTTGGTTGAATCCATGAATAAATCACAAATAAATAATGAATAAGGAACCGGGAATAAGGAACCAACTTCAGCTTCCTTGCTTACTGAAAGAACTAGGAATCTGGTCAAGTGACCCTGAGGAATGGGGGGAACTGCCCCAAAGCGCCACAAAGTTGGGTGCATATTGCTTACGGTCAGTGGACAAACAAAGCAGCTCCCATGGTTCACCTTTTACAGAGTCCCACCAGAAGCCTTTTTACCTAGTGAATCAGCATTCATGGTTATTAATGAATTTATCTTCATTAAATATCACACTGTATACTAGGGTTGCCAGCCTCCAGGTGGGGCCTGGGGATCTCCCGCTTTGACAACTGCTCTCCAGCCGACAGAGATCAGTTCCCCCTGGAGAAAATGGCTGCCTTGGAGGGTGGACTCTGTGGCCTTGTGCCATCCTGAGGCCCCTCCGCTCCCCCAACCCTGTCCTCTCCCGGATCCACCCCCAAAGTCTCCAGGTATTTTCCAGCCCAGACCCGGCAACCCTACTGTATACTATGTAATACATATATTACACAAGCATTCCATGTATTTATTTACTTCACTTATATACCCCACCTTTCTCCCCAGTGAGTACCCAAAGTGGTTTACGTCGTTCTCTTCTCCTCCATCTTTACCCACACAACAGCCCTGTGAGGTAAGTGTAATGTATTCAATAGCTGCCATTGAATGCATGATGTATGTGAAACATCTAATTGACTTGCCATGTTGAGCTTCGTCCTGGGCTAGGATCCAAATCCATCCAATCGCATTGCTAGCCCAGGAAGCACCTAGCCAATCACTTTACAGCAAGCTCCCTGAGCGGGAACATCTGTGATTGGTCCTTATATGAACAACTGTATTGGTTGGTATTTGTATAGTGGGTGTGGCTACATTAGCCGGGAGAGTTTAAAAGCAGGACAACTGCAATGTAAAAGCTGATCCGTGTTGGAGCTGTGTTCAAGTTGAAGAATAAAGTTGTGTTCTTGCCGAATCACTCTCCGACTTAACAGTAAGTTAGGCTTAACTTACAGTAAGTTAGGCTGAGAGAGTGTGACTGGCCTAAAGTTACCCGGCAGACTTCCATGGCATGAGTGGGGATTTGAACCTGGGTCTTGTGGATTGGTTTGTGTGTTGTATTCTTCAGTGACGGCATTTGGGGTGGTGCAGGAGGAGGGGCCCCAAGACTATATTTTGTCCTTTGTCTCACTGCGTCAGCTAAGGCTGCCATGGGATGGAATGTGTGGGTTGCCCTCAGGGGTCGTTTCATAGAAAAAGAGCTAGGGGAACTCATTAGCATATGCCACACCCCCTGACATCACCGGAAGTGTGTCATAAGGCCACACCCCCTGACATCACCGGAAGTGTGTCA